CACACATGTGCCATAAAGCTTCCATTTCTTAATGATGACTTTAACTGGACTCCAAAGGACATTCAGTGACTTGGACATTTTCAGTACCTTTGTCTTTGTTACATCTTTACGCTACAGTCCCTCTGAGACACGTTCACTGCTCTCAGGTGATCTACGTTTTACTAACTGTGTGACTTCGAGCACCAGTCGGCTGCACCTGTGTTGAATCAGGTGAGTCACTTTCAAGGGATACGCAATCACTGGGAACTTTTTTATCGGCGCCGCGTCCCACTGCTACGGGATACACAATCGGATTCAGGAGTGCTGCATCGAAATGATTTTTCTCTCTTATATAATTCTCATTTTATAAATCTCAGCTCGTACATACATTCTTCTCAAGGCCTGAAATCAATTTCAGAGGCTGTTCTCTGGGTTAATCTCATGCGGGTTACCTTGATTCGAGCTACTAACGCACTACATCATTCTCCTTTTTTCTTTTTTTCCCCCAATTGATCTTGTATTGCAGGGATTTGTAAACGCTTTGCACATGAACTGTAATATGACTAGCTTTGCTTACAATAGATTTTAATCTCTCGCGATCCTGCTTTGAATCAAAGCCGAGTCTGCGAATAAAACCGTTCGTCGGTACCGTGTTATTGGAACTAGAAGAAAGATTTTTTTTTCCCTCCCCACCTCAAACATAGATGTGGCTCAGCGTTCCTCCCAGGAAAGGCTATAAATACGCTGTGGAAGCATATAGGAGAATTTAAAAATAGAACGCGCGAGAAACCGCCGAAGATGAGCTCTGATGTGCAACATGACCATGCGTGTATTGATCCACTCCGCAGCGAGTTGTTTTCACATTGATCTCTCACTCTTTGGGTTAATAATAGTCTTTACTGATACCCTGAAGCTGAAAATATTTCCTCCTGTAGAAACAAAGGCCCTCCTTCAGACAATTTTTAGCATCACATCAAAAACCTTTGATTCTAAAAATGATTCGAGGTGAAGGCAAGAAAAAAAAAAAAAAAAAAGAAGCCGGTAGACGCAGAAACACCTTTCCCAGGCGCTGACTCGCTAAATTTAAAAAGACACGGATGCTCGTTGGCACGCTTAATTCCTACATGCTGCTATTTTTAGAGGTCTGTCCTACCGTGCACCTGTCTGCGTCAGATAGGAGGTAGCTGGAAAGCGCTCGCACCTTCATGTGCAGCCAGAGGCCCCATCATAGTGATCGTTCAATTCCTCCCGGATGCCTTGGCAACCAAGACTGCATGGGGAATAAGGGGATAGTTAAGGTCAAATTAAAATCTGCTGCAGACTTCCAGCACAATTTCCTGATAAAACCCCAGAGAGCTGTGCTGACAAAAAAAAATTATCATAATATTCTCCAAAACGGCGAAATTAAAAGCAGTATTGCACAGCGCAGTATACGTCGTGTGCGTTCATCTTCGTGTTGTGATGGTTTTTCTTGATAATGAGCAGCATCCTGGGTATGAATCACCGCAAATTGTCTTTCAGGATATTTTGCATTTTGAGTAATTTATGTGATTTCTTTAAAGAACAAATTGGAAAACTAAAGAAAACTCATAGCTCTTGTGACTCATCCCACCTATTCTACCGCAGCCGAAGCAGTTTGAAGAAGAAAACGACTCCTGTGTCGTGTTTCAGGACGGATGCATTTGCTTTTTTTCTTTTTTTCGCCAAATAGTTTGAGAATTTCACATCCAGATGGAGCTTCTGTGCGGAGAAATATTCATGCCGTCGCAGCTGTCGGAGCGGTGCATCTGTGAGGATGAATGTTTCATGTAAAAAAAAAAAAATGTGACTCAGACAAATAGAAACAGTGGAAGAAATTAGTGTGGTATTAAAATAAGGCACATGGTGGATCATTGTGGAAATTAGACATGATAGTGAAGATTGAGAGGGTTTTTTCTCACCACATAAAGTAGCGCTTTTTTTGCTCCTGTTGTAATTCTTTTCAACGTGGGCTCACTATTCACAGCAATATAAAGTCCTGCACCTCTGTGGAAACAGAACAACCGCGGTTAAAAGAGGAAAGAAATGTGTTTTGTGCAGTACGACACAGTTCGGTGCCATAAATCGTACAAAAGGGCTTCTGACACAGCCTGCAGTTCATCCTAGTTCAACTAAAAATGCCAGAATTTTTCTAAAGTTATTGTTGGTTCCATGTGAGTCACTGATGGCTTTCAAACTACAATAAGAAGTGCAGATTTTTTTTGTTTTTTACAGAAGCTGGTTACTGTTAATGCTTAATTTTTTTAGCATTTTTGTTCAATTTAACATGATTTTGATGAAATATCAAAAAAATTTTGGCTCCGCTTTGGTTATACCTCAAGACCAAATGTCGGAAAGTTCCAGCTGCAGTCTCTTTCTCTGATAAATTATATCGTTTTGTCGAATCAGTTCTGTCAATTTGCAATGCAGGACTTAACAATCAGTTGCCAACATGTAACGTGGATTATGTGGCATATTTACGTAGTGTAGACCACGTCCAGGTTTTCTAGAGGAAGCAATGATGCAGAATCACATCTGAGTCATTAAAGGTTTGTTTTAATGGAAAAAAAACAACCTGTAAATATGTAGCTTTGATACAGTCGTCCTCAAATGTATTCATACCCTCCCATTAAAGAAAAAAACACTGAAATAAGTAGAAATTGACAAAAGTAATAAGAAATAAAATTTGAATGAAAATCATGACGTTGGTTTTGAATTGTGGTTTAACAGAAATATTTAAAAAAACAAAAAAAAACAAGCATGATGGGACCCGTAAACTAATATTTAGCTGAACAATCCTTTGAGCCAATCAAGTGTTTTCTGTAACTCTCAGTCAGACTTCTGCACCTGTTGACAGGTGTTTCATTTTCATCAGCAAAGTGCTCTAATTTGTCCGGGACAGTTTTTTTTTTTTTTTTTCAACCACAATTCAAAAGCAATGTCTTATTTCCTTAAATTATAATTCAGCAAATTTTTATTTATTTCTACTTTTTTCAGTTTCTAGTTATTTGAGTGACTTTTGTGAATTTTGCCTTTTCTTTAATGGAATGGTGTGAATACATTTGAGGACGACTGTACACGGAGACGAGTGTTTAGAAGTTAAATCAGAAACCGGGGAACGACTTTAAGGCTTTGTTCCTCAAAAGAGAGTTAAAGGAGCCAACGTATTTTTTTAAATTTATCTAGATGGCTGCGTTTTCTATTCTAGAAAGTCAAGTGCGCCGTCGTCCTGCAGCCTGCACTCTCTTCAGCCGTTTCAACTCTTGTACCTTTGTTGCCTCACACTGGGTACGAGAGCAAACGCTTCCCTCCAGGAAGAAAAAGAATTAGCAAATGTCACGCCTCCCCTCGCAGCTCTGTGCTGTCTGATAAAAGTCAGTGCCTTTAAGCACAGAGTTGGCACTGTTACCAACTGAGGCACCACAGGGCAGGAAATGCCCCCAAGGGCCTGGCATTTGGGAACCAAGTTAGAGTCGGGAGCAGCAGCTCTGTGGGGTAGAAAGAGAGCAAAGCAAAGTAAATAGACGAGTGACAGATTCAGCCTGAGCCGAGCGGCGCTTCAAACTGCAATGTTCGGCAAACTATCAAGAATTTTTTACTGCTGTTATTTTTCTTTAGTGAAATCTTTAGCAGCGGATTTGAACTCATCTTCACAAGGAGGGGTTTTTGGTTTTAGGCCCTTGAACAGACAACAATGCAGCCATCTGGATATGGAGAGGAGGAGAGATCAGAATGCTGAGCATAAGTGATGCAAGCGCTGCCTTTTGTTTGGCAGCTCTGATTACCAAGGTTACCAGGCAATACTCAACGGCAGTAGCTGTCACAGCAGGATAAGCTCCATATGATTCATGATTCGTGCCGTAGCCATCTTTAAAGATTTCTGCCTCGCTTGCTCGCTCGCACGGCGTGTTCAGCTGATCTGATTGAATCTGTGGAGAGATTTTTCTCGATAAAAGTACGATTCACTGTACGGCATCTGTTTGACTGCGTGTTTTCGCAGATCTCCCTCACGTTCTCACAAGAGACAAATTGTCGGTCATCAAAGCGTTCCAGTCAGATGTGCGTGTTTGGACCTGTTGTGTGCCGGCCCCCATGGCTCCGTTATGCATAATTGGACACAAAGGGACCAAAACATCCTTCCGCCCTCAGAAGGCTGCACTGTGTCACCAGAATGTTTAACTGAGAGGCTGCGAGGTAAATGAAACGATAATTCAGTCGTCGTTCTCGCCCGGCTAACTCGATACGAATCGCCGGGAGGTGACAGGCTTCGGCTCGCTTTGGCATTCCGGCGGCAGGTCCAATCAGAGCCCGGGAGGCGGCCGGTGCATCAGCAGTCAGCAGTGATGAGCCTCTGATGACTGGTGAGCCCTTCAGGCTCGGCGCAATCTCCCAGATCACAGTCATCCTCCGGTTTAAGGTCGCCACAGAGCAAACGCACAGCCACCTCCACAAGTCTGTGATGCCTTTCCCTCTCTTGAAGCGAGGCTCTGCTGTGGAGCGGAGTATCCCAACGAGGCCGTTTATCAGACTAAAGGAGACACTCGGGTTGTAATGACTTGTCCATTTAACAGGCACGAGTCAACTCAGTGGTAAATTAAATACATCAGGCTCAGCTCGTAAACAAACAAAAGCTCTGAGACGTAATGCATGTTCTTGTTTCTTTCTTTTTGTTGTCTGCTCTCAGGCTGAAGACGAGGAGGAAGAGGACCAGCCTCTGAGCCTGTCCTGGCCCGAATCCGCCCGCAAGCGCTTCACCTACCTCATCATCATGCCCATTGTCCTGCCCCTGTGGCTCACGCTGCCGGACGTCAGAAAAACGGTGAGCCACGCCGATGCTCACAACGTCCGCAACAAGAATGTCTGCAGTTCTACACGGAGCTCACTTTCTTGTTTTTTTTTTCTTTCTGTCAGTCGTCAAAGAAGTTCTTCCCCGTCACGTTCCTGGGTGCCATCTGCTGGATTGCAGGATTCTCCTACCTGATGGTGTGGTGGGCTCACCAGGTACACGCTGACTCATGCACTTTACAGGCGATGACATTGTTCAACAAAGTGGGTGTTCAGTGACAGCGGTCCTCGTCAAAAAAAAAAACAAAGATCCAGTCGTCTTTCCTCCCATTTCTCTCGTTCCTCGTCCGTGACATTTCTAATAATTCCATAATCTTCCCACTCGTTTATAATTGCAGTTGTCTTGTTTCACACAAAGCGACTGTCAGAGTTTTCTCACCTCTGTCAGCGCCGCAGCATCACAAGGAAATTAAAAATAGCTGGAACAAAAAGATTAGGTTTTATTTACCCCAAAGCTTAGCATTCTTTTTCTTTTTTTCTTCTTCTTCTTTTTGCAGGTTGGAGAGACCATCGGGATTACAGAGGAGATTATGGGTCTGACTATATTAGCAGCTGGAACCTCCATCCCTGACCTCATCACCAGTGTTATCGTGGCACGCAAAGGCCTGGGTGACATGGCGGTATCCAGCTCCGTCGGCTCCAACATCTTTGACATTACTGTCGGGTACGAGCGGGACTTGAGTTTGTTTCTGGACGGGGATGTGAGAGGTCGCGATAGAGGTCGAACAAGACCCGTTTTAACTCTTTAACTTTTAAATATAAGAATGCTGTTCCTTTTAGTTTGTCTTAAGCATCTGGTTGGAGGTCATTAAGCGTCACAGAAGGGTTTGTCATGGTGCCCATTGCTAGCTAAACGGAGCTGCTTGTAATCTGTGTGGCTGCCTCTTTGGGTCCTTAAACAGTAAGAGGCTCCACCTGGTGGTGCAACCAGGTACTACAGCTAAACGACATTTTCTTACATGTATGTAGAGAATACCGTCTTTTGGAGCTACCAAACTTTTACCACAGTGTTTACCACTGTTGGAGCTTTACAACAAAGGTCATGACATAACTTTGAGGCTCGAAGGCAGTTTTAATGTGTCGAGCACATACATTGCATTGATTTTAATGTGCTTAAAGTGTGTTTTATCGAGGAAGAGACAGGAGGTTGAGAGTCGGGGGCAGCAGATACTAAATATTAAATAACACGGGATCAATTGGGGGTAAAGAAACTTAATTGGAACATGCCTATTTCTGGAAAAACATTATAATTGACCAAAAAATCTGACATCGCGAGCACGAAAGCTAAATAATTTTTGTCTGTTTTTTGCATCGAAAATAATGTCGAAGCTTCTCCTATTAATTTTAGGTGAACCAATAAAAAAATATTATTGTTGTTATTATTATGATAAACTTTATTTCTGTAGCACCTTTCAAAATTCAAGTTAGAAAGCGCTTCACAAAGCATTAAATACAACAAACATGAGATGGAAAGGGGGAAGCTTAAAAAGACCAAGGAGATGCTGGTCTGTGCAGGTGGGCTTTTAAAAGCTTTTTAAACTGAATTACTGACTGAACTGTTTTGACAGTCAGGAAACTGGACTTCTGCCTGTGGTGGCAGATTTCAGGAGAGCAATAACAACAGATTTAGCTTCACGAACAGTTTGTGGTGGTGCAATAGATTTGACGGAGGAATTTAAATTCAAGTTGAAGCCAGAAATTACGGTTGACTTCTTTCCTTTTCCTGATTTCTGCGGCTTTAAATTGGTTTTAGCTCACAGACAATCTTCAGTATGAGCGACCTGAAAGGAAGGAGGAAACCCTGCTGCACATTCGTATCGTCATCAGCCTTTAATTGAAACCTCTGACGACACACTGAGGCAGAATGGTCATTTTTAGTGGTGCCCAGGTGCATGAAATAGATGCGAACACATTAACAAGAAAGGAATTAACAAATAAAATAACAGGATTACATGCGAGACATCCTCTAAAGCAGCGGTCTTCGACCTTTTTTGCACCACGGACCGGTTTTAAGCAAGAAATTTTTCTACGGACCGGTCATTGTGCACATAACAAATAATAATTGTTTTTTTTCTATTGAAAAGTTTCATAAATAAATAAAATAAATGTTTATTGCTTAACATATTTACATTTTCTCTGTCTCAGCATCAAGTCTCTCCCACTTTCCAAAGCAGCTCTCCTGAGACGTTTGTTTTTGACTGACGGCTTCGTTTAGCAGCCGGGCATAAAAACTGACAGTCAAGTGACGGGAAACGAACACAAACGGAAGTGAAGGGAAGACGAGCTAGTCATGTTTCAAAATAAAACACCCTGCAGACTCCGCTGGAAATAAAAATAAACCAATAAAATGTTTTCATTCTATCTGTGCGGCCCGGGACCAAATGACCCACGGCCCGGTACCGGTCCGCGGCCTGGCGGTTGGGGACCACTGCTCTAAAGCATGGGTGTCAAACTCCAATATACACACTGGGCCAAAGTAAAGAACTGGGATTAAGTCGAGGGCCAGACTCGATATTTATTGAAAAGCTGACTAAAGTTGTGCACGTTTTCATTTCTCTCCACAGATATAATGGTAAACTTTTTCATATGGAATCAAATATTTTGCTTAAACACTAGATGTGGAACAAGCAAAGCTAAATGAAGGTCTGTGGACAGATAATCTGCCTCCCAGCTGTCTTGAAAGCTCCTGTTTTCCATCTTTCGTTTGGCCATTTGTTGTGAGGGGTGGCTTAAATTTTGGTGACATGAGGTTGCTAATGAATGTCGAGAGCTGCTGACACGCCAACGTACCAGCAGAGCATTCTGGGATGTGTAGTATTAGCGATGCATGGGCTATATACCAGCGGGCTAGGTCTAGTAGACATTTGATATTATCTCGCGGGCCAAATATAATTACACTGCGGGCCCGATTTGGCCCACGGGCCTGCGTTTGGCCAGCGTTTGATGCAGAAGTGTTTGTTCCTACAGCGCCTAAAGCCGACTCATCTGCCGCCTTTCGTAAAACAACCCTGTGTCTGTGTATTCGCAGGCTGCCCTTCCCCTGGCTCCTGTGGTCCATCTTCAGCGGCATGAAGTCGGTGCAAGTCAGCTCCAACGGCCTCTTCTGCGCCATCGTGCTCCTCTTCATCATGCTCCTCTTCGTCATCATCTCCATCGCCGCCTGCAAGTGGCGCATGAGCAAGCTGCTCGGCTTCATCATGTTCATGTTGTACTTCGTCTTCCTGGTGGTCAGCGTCATGCTGGAGGACAAGGTCATCACCTGTCCGGTGTCGGTCTGAGGGGCCTCTCAAGGAGCCGCGTCCTCTCCGTCATCACCGCCGCCGCCACCAACGCCACCAACGCCACCAACGCCACCACCATCCTTCTCGTCTGCTGTCGCTCCCACCTGCCCCTCGTGACCCTTTACACCAGGAATAAAAAGAAGAACGGCTGCGTGCAAGAGAATAATCTACAAACATTATAAAAAAAAATACGGATTCTACTTTCCAGGTGGTGACGGAGAGGAGTAGAACGCAACAAGGGCACAAGACTTCGGCTTGGCTGGTTTAGCAGTGGCCTGACCTGAGTGGATTTTTATTTCTTATGATTTCGCTGGCAGGTGAAGCAGGGACGGGAGGGTGTAAGCCAAATATAGAAGTATTATGCATGCCATTAGTTTCACTAGATCAGCTGGATTCAGGACTGGTATTTTGAGGAGAACGACCTCCTGTGAACTTTGGCAAGAGACGCACTGTATGAAACTCTGAGACGCTGAGGTGACTGAGCTGAAGCATATTTGGACTTGAGACGCCAAGAGTGACCGGTGGACGAGGAAATGGCCCGTGAATATTTGGATGGCGAAAAGACTCCTGAGGAACACTCTTGATGAGCAGATGAACATTATTTCTTCTTTTTTTTTTTCTTCGACGAGTTAAACTTCCCCTCTTCCCTGCCAGAGTTTCACCACCGAATGTTGAGGATTCTTCTTCTGGTTTTTTTTTTGGATTCATTTTCATGAAATACTAGCGGTAGCATTAGGTATACTGTAGCAGTATTAGTTCACGTAGATCCGACTTTTTTTCTTTGGCCACTGAACACACGTTCTGATTGTACAGAACTTTTCATGCTTCACGTGCACCGACTGACAAGAAAAAAAAATGAAGTTTAGCCTCTCAAAGTATACCTTCGATATCTTGTACTGGTTTGGGGGAGAGGGGAGGGCGGGGTGGGAGAAAAAAAAAAAAAGCATGAATAGGCTCTTTAAAGTTCCATAACAATGTCAAAAATAATCCATTTGAAAAAGAACTTTACAGTGTTTAATGGTTGATTTTAGATTAGTCAATGTGTAGTGCTTCGTTCACGGTAGAACTGAGCTCAAATCACCGGCTAGTCAAGCTCCTGGGGTAGAAGATTCAAGCAATCAAATGCATGTGTTAAAAAAAAAAAGAAAAAAAAAACTCGGAGGTGAATAATACCGATTTAAGAAGTTGTATACCAAAACGTACACTTTTTTTCCAGACAATGTTTCATAACTTCTTAACGCAAAAAACCAGTGCTCGGTCTCTATGTAGAAAATGTCAACGCGTACGGTCGACGATATCTATCAAACTTGTGCAATTTCTTTTTTTTCTAATCAAAGGTGCTTTCGTGTGCATGTGTGCAATCTTGCATCTGGAGTCATCGCACAATGACCATTCATTAGATTTATCTATGAAACAATAGAGGTGATACAACCAGTATTTTGCAGCTAAATGCAAAGAAAAAAAAAAGGAAAAAAAAAAAGACACCAATCTGTGTTTTATACTGGAAAAATCATAATCACGATCTCTTTAAGCTACATAGAATGTGGAAAATCACAGACTTTAACAGCAATATACCGCGTGTCGTCGTTGCATCCACCTTCCCCTCCCTCCCCCCGAGTCATGCGTCTGTCCTCCACCCCACCAGACCTCCACCACCGTATAGCGTGGACCCCCTTAGAGCTGGCCAGAAAACACCTGCTTTACCTCAACACAGCCTCTGTACAGCAGCTTCGTAGGAGTTAACTGTAAAATACTAGTAAATAGATTCTCTGAGCGTGTGGAGGAGAAATGCATGCGAGGAACTTTTCCTGGGCTGGTTACCCACCGACTGTACAGCTGAGCTTAGACCGACTTATATACAGGACGTTCACTTTTATGCACCCATCGGACGGAGAAACACCAAGAAGTCATTTGGTTTTGTAAATATAAACTCCTGTTTTTCATTTATTTCTTTTTTTTTATTAACAGAGGGTGGGAAAGGACTTGGATATTGTATGCCGGTGGCAAAAACAAAAAAAAAAATTAGCATCCATCACATGCTCTGTTGAGTTCCTGCTCGTCAAATTTAGGGCTTTGAATACCACATTGCCTCCTCGGCCAAACGCCACATGTTCCACCGCCGACATTCAAAGAATTTACGGCCTCGGCGGTGACTCGTGTACTTTGTGAAATCCTCCCGTGCACGTCGGCCATTCGACTCTTCCCTCCGAGCGCCCACGCAGCCTCATTAGCGCGATCACACCTCACCTCCACTTCCTTCTCTCACCTTCTTTAGAAGAATAGTTTGACCTTTCGAGGGAGGCTTTTTTTTTTTTTTCTTGCAGCGTCACACGAGAGAGTCGTTCTTCACGTGCGGCGAATGTGGAGCTGCCGCCAGGAGAGGGTTAGCTTAGCACGAGCATCAACATCTCGGGTGCAATTTTGAAATTACTCCATTTTCACCTGATTTCTGCGACTTAACACTCATTCTCCGGGACTTTACTTAAATTATTTTGCATAAATCACATGCAAATCATATCTACGCATCGATGTCAGCCCAAAAAAAGTGCTGGAATGAACTGGGAAATGGCTGTTTATTGACTTGGAAGCATTTGCAAAATTGTCTGAATCTTAAAAGCTGTAAATCACTGACTTGTGACGCAATTTTTTTTGCCATTTTACGACACTCTAATCCTTATTTGCATTGTTTTATGTCCGTATTTCTTCAACCTGTACATTAATTCTGCCTTACGCTCCCGTAAAAGACATTTTTAATCACAATGAGCCGTTTTTCTGGTTAAAAAAAGTCAAATAATTTTGAAAAAATGGCTTCATAATACAAAATGCAATCAACAATTTAAATCTGGTGCAATATTGTCGATGAAACTTTAATAAATCTGTTAGGAAAATTCAGTTAAACTACATTAAGTAGTACAATAATCTACATATTCTGAAACCAGAATTCTGCACAATGACTGATTTTACTTTGGGTACGTTAAGTGTATTTTAATTGTAACAGAGTATTTGGACACTGATCTGAGTCGTCATCAAACCAAAGTGAATAAAAGTAGAAATTGTGGGTTACAAGGGGTTTTGTGTACAAAACAAATGCAGCTAGCTACAATAATCTCCTGCTGGTAGCTTCACATTCGCACAAACACGAGGCCGGTATCGATTTTCTCGTCGAACTTAAAGCAACGAGGCAAACACGCTAATGTCACATGTGCATACAGTCCCTGTTCGCTTCCATCCCTACAACCTCCTCCTGTCAAAACCACATTTCCAAAGTTTTTGTTGTTCGAGCGAGAGCACGAATGGTGAGAGGAACCCAAAAAAAACCACAAACAAATAAAACAAAAACCGGTTTAGCTTGGCAGTGACTGCGGTTCACCAGGGACGTCGACCACTGATGAACATTCTTGCACTGTAAATGTTTTATTTTCTTGGTGTTAATGTAAGATTTATTTAAGGTGTACATATATACAGATACAAATTAACCATATAATCTATATGTGTAAAAGAAATATGTCTCTTTATGTAAAAACACAAAGTATATAATAAAAACAAATAAAGATGCTAATTCAAATATGCAACAGTGGTCATCATGCGTTTGTCAGTAGCATGTACAGTTTTAAATGTTTCCCTGTTTTGGGGAATTGTCATGTTGAATTGCAGGTGCAGCATTAAATAGCACATTATTGTCATTGCCAGTAGGAATTAAATTATATTTCTTGCAGCGCATGCAGTCGAATGATAGGAAATAAGTGAATCAGGTGGATTTTTTGGGGGGTTTGATCCTCTTTGAGACCAACCCTACGGATAAAGATGATGTACACAACCTTTAAACCACCTTCTGTAGGTCCTGTGGCGGCTTCATGGAGCCCCTCATACCACAAATGCTCAACTAGGTCGCAGGCTGAGGCTCTTGGTCATGTTCCTCGAGCCTTTTCCACGGTGGCCGGGGAAGTGGAAAACAAATTTACAAGTGGCGAAACACTTTTACAAACTCCCGAACCACTTTTCCCAAAAAACAAGTAAAATCAACTGGAAAGGGACTGTACCAGCTCTGGGTTTGAACCGGAAGTGGTAACAGGGAGCGGCCAATAAGAGTTGTTGTTGTCATTTATGGAGTTCCTGTTGACCCAAGATGGACAGCGACAGAGTGATGTTTTGCCCATTTCGTGGCACACACATGAGATGATGAACACGGTTTTGTTTTTTGTGTGGTCGGTCTTCAGAATGTTTAAGGGGCATGGACCAGACGGACGCTGTGATCGTGGACATGATGTCACGTTTACATGATGTTCACATCAGCTTGAGGTCTCTGAAAAGCAAACTGAATGATGCCGGGTTGTAATTGTATTAATCGTCTCGTGTGTGCCACAAAACGGGCAAAACATCACTCGGTCGCTGTCCATCTTGGGTCGCCATGAACTCCATAAATGACAACAACAACTCTTATTGGCCGCTTCCCGTGACCACTTCCGGTTCAAACCCAGAGTTGGCACATTCCCCTTCTGGTTCATTTTACTTGTAGAAGTGTTTCGTCACTTGTAAATGTGTTTTGCACTTCCCCGGCTACTGTAGAAAAGGCTCGAGGAACATGACCAAGAGCCTCTGCCTGCGATCTAATTGAGCATTTGTGGTATGAGGGGCTCCATGAAGCCGCCACAGGACCTACACAAGGTGGTTTAAAGGTTGTGTACATCATCTTTATCTGTAGGGTTTCTCTCAAAGAGGATCGAATGTTTCCTTGTCAGAAAAAAAAAACAAAAAACTCAACCTGATTCGATTGTTTTTATCATCGGCCGCTCCCCGTTACCACTTCCGGTTCAACCCCAGAGTTGGTACATTCCCCTTCCTGTTGATTTTACTTGTAAAAGTGTTTCGTCACTTGTAAATTTGTTTCACACTTCACAGCCACCGTACTTTTCTGAGCATTTTATCGCGGTTTTTAAGGGTTTATCATCCTGCTGGGAGAAGCTGCTGATGCTGTGGAGTGTCGTTTCTACGTAGGGGTCTGATGGTCGCCAACAAGACGTCAGCGTTACTCACCCGGTTTCAATGTTGTCAAGATGCAAGAATGCAACGTTCCTCTGTGGGAAAACGTAAGTATCAGAAGATTTAGCAGAAATAACTTCTTCTGGGTGTTTATTTGCACAAACGTCTTGTTCTTGGAGGAACCTTTAAATGCTCAGAGGATGTTGATGAAGGAGCCTGTAGCAACTCAGAGGTACGTTATGTATGTGTTTGGTGATGATGGTGTTAAGATGGTTTATTTTAGTCCAACATTAAAAAAGTAGGACGTTTTTTCAACACAAACATAAAAAAAACATGCTAAGAAATCATTTTTGTAACGTTTCCTCGCATTAAGCTCTGGAGCTCTTTTGAACAACTTCGGAGATAGTAAATGCTGCTTCGTATATTTGCCTAAATGAGGATCTTGTCTGACTTTTTTTGTGTGAAAATGGCTCACTTGTCCCAATGCCAAGCTCCCTGCTTCCCTATCTACATACATGTACGCATAACAAAACGGTTCCTTTCTGAGCGGTTCCTCCAAATGTTCCTCAGGGCCCATTCCGTAAGCCTCCATATCTTCTATTTGAGCCGCTCCTTAGCGGGTTTGTTTGTGTGTTTAGTGTTCATTATCATGGTTTAAAATCCCTCTTTGAGTTAATAGTTGAATCGATGCCAGAACGTCTCAACCGAAATGTCTCCCAGCAGCTCAGGTTCCGCCTGTGGTCTGAGCTTATCATGTCTGTTATCAGGGTGAAGAATCCACTCTGTCAGCATGCTATGTGCATTATGTTGCTTTTGGACAGCTGTGTGTTTGCTTTCCCACACCTGATCTCTTTGTGATATGATGATGTTACTTTGGCCAAAGTTCCCTGCAGCTCCTGTGATGAAATACGTCGGTTCTTGCGGGTTTCTTTTTTTCCCGTCTGCTCTCTTGGGGGATTTTCTGGGACTTCCCTTCCAGACTCATTGGCATCCCAAAAACTTTCATTTTGAAGGCCTTACAGATGACAGCACTGACTTAAAACATGTTCTCGTGCACCTTCATCTGTAGGTGATGTTCAAATATGCTGCAGGGGAAGCACGACTGCAGGTCCGTCTCTGCGCTCGCCTGCAGAAAAAAGTGCAGGCGCTGCGCTTCGGGATGCACACCTGGCCGTCTTTTTTTTTTTTTTTTACGTAAGAAGCTTGTGAGCACTTCCTCCAAGCTTCTGGGGCAGTTAAAAAAACAAGTTGAATGAGAATAAGATGACAAATTCAGCTGCGTTTTGGGGCTGCAGTGATTTGGAGACAAGCTGTGGATTGTGGCGCCCTCTTGTGTTCAGACCGGAAAGTCGACGGTGATGCAATCCTCACTCTGGTGCATTCCTGATCCAGTCCACCCACTTAAAACTATCCTCCAGCAAGTTCGAGGGTTGCTGCTGCCGTGATTCCCTGGAATCGCGCGTCATCGCTTTCCCAGCACTTCTATGTTTAGCTTCTGTAATTTCCCTCCAGGTCAGACCGACTGGAGAGAGATGAATCAAAGCTCCGTCTCCTTGACTGCGGTGTTTGTTCCCTCCCTTGATTGGCTTCTTTCTGTTTGGTTGTTAAAGGCCGCTGAAATAAATCCAT